AGATTGTGGGGGCAATATGCTGACTCTGTAAACCGCTTAGAGAGGGCTGAAAGCCCTATGAAGCGGTATATAAGTCTAAGTCTAACTGCTATTGCTATTCTTCTATATGTGTTGTGGTCCTTCCTATCAGGTCATGTTGTGAAAGTGCTTCTGGAGGAAGATTTATTAGATTGATTCAATAATTTGTTTTTAAATCTGCAACCCAGCAAGACAGAGGCAGACTTCAGAGGATAATCAGACCCCTCGCATCCTGCACGTAAATTGTTTCAACTCCTATCCTCAAAACGATGCTATAGAACACTGCACACAAAGACAACTATACACAGGAACAGTTTTTTCCCAAACGCCATCACTCTGCTAAACAAATAATTCCCCCACCACTCTCAAACTATTCACTAAGGCTGCATTACTATTCCTATTAGTCTTCTCATACTTAAAAAAGCATTAAAATCCATTAAAATCATCAGTCATAAAAAACTGCAGATAAAATCATTAAGAAATAAAACCATTACCAGCAGATGGCAAAGGAGGAAACCGGACACATGGAGCAGGAGGGAGGGAGGGAGAGGGTTTCAGTTTTAATTAGTCAACCCCTCCCATTGTGAAGTTCCTCCATTGGACCTTCAAGCCAATAGGAAGTGTACAATAGGTGGGTGAAGGATGGGGAACCTCCTGGCATGGAGGGTCCTAGAATTGTGACCCAGCAGTCAGAAACGTTGATGTTGTCTGTGGGAGGGTTTTACCTCACACCTGTGCTAGAGCATTAGGTTGGGATGCAGAAAAGGAAAATGCTCCCCGTTCCTTTCTTCCCAGCTTCCAGTGTGTTCCCCGGGCTTTGTGCCACCCCAGTGAAGGGGCAGCATCAGTGAAGGAGCAGCATTACTCGGCCAGTCTCAAGACCTGACTGGGGAAACAGGAAAAATGTCTCATAGGCAGAGTCCTTGCCGTCAGTGGGAAAGAGGAAAAAAACATGATAATAATCCAGAGTGAAGGGGCCAACCAACTGGAGCTTAGAGAAGATAAAAATTTCTTGCAGGAAGAGCAACTTATTTTTAATTTTTAAATAACTTGAATCATCAGAACAAACAATATTCCTTATTTGATGCAGATGGTATAATCAAGGCAGGTTTTTTTTAACATCAATAAGAGGGAGAAAACAATCCTATTTACAGTTTAGCCTCCAAAGCTTCAGCTGTTCTTCCCAGCCTTGGCCTGAAGGGTGCAGGAGAAGCGTCATCCTCCTTGGCACAATCCAAAGTGCCTGGAGCCAGGGGAGAATTGCAGGCCGGTGTGGGGGGGGGGAATCTTCTCTTCCTTAAAGACTTCATGTAGACTTGAGGTATTGGAGGTCCAAGAGTGCTTCACAGTGGTGCTCCCCCCATGTGTGTGTGTGTGTGTGTGTGTGCCCCCATCCATCTAGGGAAGCCACAATGTGGGGGTGCAGGAAGTCTGCCCATCAAGATGTTATTGTGTCTGGCTGGTTGGACTGTTCATTCTGGAATAAAACAGAAGCCTCCAAATTTCCTGTCAGGAAGCTACTGGCTATAAGTATGCCTGCTGGAGGAGATTCCTCATCAGATGTGAGAAAGTCTGTTCAGCACCTCAGCCCCGAGAAGCCGGGATTCAAGGAAGCCATGGAGAGGGTGATCTGGAGCTTAAATGAACTGAGATGGCTAAGAAAGAGCAGATCAGGAGAAAGGAATCACCGAGACCACTTAGAACTGTTGAAGTTGCATATGTCATCCATTGCGTTACAATGACTTTGCGTGGCTTATATTGGCCAAATATTGCCTTATGTGTGTGCTGAGAAAAAGGACTACCAAAATTTAAAAAAACAAAAATACTTATTAATTCATTTATTTTATTAATATCTTGGATATTAATCTGATAAGTCTTACGATCTTTTTACTTTTATTTCCTTCCATTTTAAATAGTCTAATTGTCAAAAACATGCAAAAGAAGTATTCAAACCGAATAAAAAATTCAGCAAATAATTAAATGTTATGAACCTAAGGAACAATTTTGTTATCATTTCCCTACTTTTATCATTAGATGTTCCTTAGCATTTAGATCTGGTCTCAGGATGATAATGTAGCACTTGGGGAAGAAGATGCAGCCCAGCAGCCCAGCACTGGAGGCCAAGATGGAGAAGACCTGCACAGCCACCATGAATTTCCCTTTGGTGCTCAGGTAGGTGGGCAGGAAGGAGACCCAGATGCTGCAGAAGACCAACATGCTGAAGGTGATCAGCTTGGTTTCATTGAAGGCCCCAGGCAGATTCCTGGCCAGAAAAGCCACCATGAAGCAAATGGCAGCTAGGAAACCCATGTAGCCAAGGACAAGATAAAACATGGTGACAGAGCCTTCATTGCATTGCAGGATGATCTCTTCTGCTTGGGATTGCCGGTCAGATCTAGGAAATGGGGGGGAAACTCCCAGCCAGATGGCACAAATGAAAATTTGGACACCAGAACAAGAAAGGATGATGGAGTTGGCCAAGCTCTTCCCCAAATATCTCTTCACTTGGTTTCCTGGTTTTGTGGCCATGAAGGCCAGCACCACCATGATTGTTTTGGCCAACACAGAAGACACAGCTACTGAGAAGACAATGCTGAAAATTGTTTGTCGGAGAAGACAAGTGGACTTCCTTGGTCGGCCAATGAAGAAAAAGCAGGACAAGAAGCAAAGCAGGAGGGAAACCAGGAGGATGTAGGAGAGGTCCCGGTTGTTGGCTTTGACAATGGGAGTTTCTAGGTACTTAATGAATATAATTAAAACAAAGCCTGTGATTAGGAACAAGAGAACGGCAAAAGAAACTAGGATGATGCCCAGATATTCTTCATAGGACAGGAAGGTTATTCTTTTGGAGATACATTTGACTTGCTTCTCAGTGGGGTATTGACCACTTGGGCACTTGGTGCATTTTTCAGTATCTGAGAAAACAGAAAGTAATATTTCTTTTATACCACTTTTCACATTTTAAGAAAGCTTTCTTTCTCACATTGAGAGAGAGAGAGGAAAGCCTTGGTAAATGATGAGTGTGTTTGTGTGTATGCATGTGCATAGGTCCTATGTCATGTAGGGCTTTAAAAGTGAATATAATTGCACTTGTGAAGAAATTGGGAGCCTAAGCAGCTTGCACAATAGGGGGAATGTAGGGAAGCACAACATTGTGGATGCCCTTATATTCTGGACCATTTGTGTGTTGTTGGTAGCTTTCAAGAGCACATTGCAGAATTCAAACAGGAAGTGAACAAGGCATATGAGGATGCTCCCCTGTCTATGAAACGGTGCAGCTGGCTCACAAGAAGAAAATGTGTGAAGGCTCCTCTACCCATTTCTGCCCTCTGCACATTGGCCTGGAGTCTATGAGTTTCCCAAAATTGTGCACCACAACCTCCATCCAGGGCAACAGGACCGTCCACCTGGCCATAGGTGGGGAACTGATGATACCGGAGCCCATGGAGTAGCCGGTGACCCCATTTAGCTCTTTCATGTCAATGATTAAGAGGAAAGGAGAGAGCGACTCAAGTGGGATTGACATCAACTGAAACCATACACAAAGGAAGAGGAATCATTGGGAAACGCTGCCCTCAACTCCCAAACTCTGAGGCCAGTCCAGAAGGATATCGCAGTTGATAGCATCAGAAGTCACTGAGAGATCTTTGGGGGGGGCAGGTTTGTTGTGACACCTCCATTGATAGGTCATCTGCAAGAGCAACCCAGACTCTTAGTACTGTATCTCTAATTTCCCTTAAAATATTGGGCACTGGATGAAAGTTGTCTAACATGCTTGCAACCATGAAAGCCGGTTTAGAAATGGGTGCACGAAGGCATCCCTCAGGGCAGATGGTGGCACTACTCATTCCCACTAATTACACCCAAGGTCAGATTAGCTCCATGCCTTGAGGCCTTCTGGAAATTCCTTAATCTGTGATTATTTCAAAAGGACTGGGTACTAATTGCACCACGAGTAACATCTCAACATTCCTCTTATCATCTTAATTTTTTAATGTTTCATTGTTTTAACCTGGTTTTACAAAATGTTTTATTATTGATTTATGTATATGTCATCCAGATCCATTTTGTGTGAGATGGGCATCAATGTAAATTTGATAAATATTTAATAATCTTTATAAACAAAGTTATCATAAGGCAGATTAATTCCTGATTAGGCTCACTTCCTCTCCCCCAAAAGAGTGGGTGATAATGTCTGTGCATCATATAGAGTGAATGTTGCTGAAGTCCCGCCCACTCATTGGCCCCCACCCTTCGGTGTCTGCCTCCCAGCAATTTCTCTCCTTGCAGCAAGCAGCAAACAGACTAGTCAGCTCCAGTACAGTCTGATTTAGCATGAACAGCTGATTGGTGGTTGGATCGGCCTTCCGGAACACCTCCTATCAGCTGTTCCAGGCTGCAGGGATCATTGCCGCTCATCACTACGTCCACACATGTTCCATTTTTTGCCTCCATGCATCCCGTTTTCTTTTTTTTTTCTTTTTCGGCCTCCACACGTCCTATTTTCTGTATGTTCCATTTGGGGGCAGCAGTGGCGATCTCCATTGCCTGGAACGGGCCAAAACCGGAAAAAGTGGAGGTGAAAAATGGGGCGCGCAGAGGTGGCAATGCCTCCACAGTTTCTTCAACCTTTGCAGAAGCAGCCCTTGGTATCTGTTGTGTCTTGCGACATTTCACATCCACCTATTTTCCTTGGTAAGCAGAGTCTGTCAACATCACCACATGGATGAAAGGCATGGTTCGTCTTCATTATTTTTCAGGTGTTCCTATCTATTGCTTTTAGTTCTACTAGTCCAGTTCACTATTTCAGCTGTGTATCTAATGACTGGAGTTGCCCAGATGTTGATTGTCTTGATGGTGTTTCCTGCACTGAATTTGGATTCTTCTTCATGCTCTTAATGTATTCATTTATAATATTTTTCTTGACTTCGGTGTGCTTGTTGTTGTCAGCTTGAAGGATGCCCAGGTGTTTTTAGTGATTGTATTCTTCCCATCTCTTAATGTTATTTTCATAGGAAATCTTGATTACTTCTAAGCTTTTACTATTTTTCCCCTGCTGACGATGAGCGAGGCACATTTGCGCAGTCCATTACAATATCTTGGCTATTTCTCTTTTTCTACTTCTTTCTCCGAGGTCCGGCTCATTTTGATCAAAACAGTGTATGTAAGGATTTTTTTAATTCAATACCACAACTGGATTTCTTTAGTGTTAGTAATTGTAATTGTTTTTTATTTCCCTATTTAATAACCAAGAAAATTGGAAAGACAAGAAGTGCAAAGGTCTAGCAGGAATCCTACCAAGGAATCCGTGAAGGTGATTATGCTGAACCCTGGAATGTTGAACTGGATTACAAACACTATTTGTGTTTTATCTCTTAATCAATAACATGGACAGATCATTGGAGGGGAAAGAGGGAGATTTTATCCCTAATAATGGTAAGTTTACATACCTTCTCTCACACGGATATTCTCTAAATGGATTTTGGTTTTCACTTGTCCCTGGAGCCTGACCCCTCTCCCGCCATGATCCTCCCAATTAGATCTTTCTGCTTATGAGTCTCCAGGATCTTAGTAAAGATTGACTGTTTAATTGGCCAGTAAGGCATGCTAGTTTACTGAGTAGAAACCATTGGTCTCAAACCATTTCTCTTGTTTCCAGGAATTCAGATGTTCCTGAGAAAGGAAAACATGGAGGGACACTTCCAAACTAAGAAGTAGAAAAGGAAGAAGGAAACCCACCACGTCCTTCTATCTCTTCCTACCTTGTCCTTTATGACCTTTTTCTTATTTTCCTCATTATGGAAGTAGTTGGGCATGTTGAAAATAAACAATAACAACAAAGCAGTCAGGGACGGATTACTTTGTTCAACATGCACATTGATCAAAATCCTCTGGAAGAATCCCGTACCCTTTCCTCCTGTGTCACCCACCTTCCTGAGTGGAGATGGTCCCCTCTGGACAAGGAACGCAGTCGTAGCAGCAAACTGGCTCTCCTTCTCGAGCCCTTTTGACGAATCCAGGAAGACAATTTTCCACGCATTTGGACTGAGGTAGAGGCTAAGCAAATAACAAGGAATGTCAAAAAATATGTAATAAGACTCATCATCCATAGAAATTGGAAGTAGACATGAACATTAGCCAAGTAGTCTCCAGGCTTTACTTAGGTAAATTAAAAAATGTATAACTAATTCCAAGAGGTTGTAAGAGGTACAACTAATTGCAGATTCATTGTTTACGGTCATTCCTTTTGCTTCTGGGCCATGACGTTGGAAGAAACTTTTCTATTTAACAATGTCTGGAGGGATGGAATTGGAAAAAGATTTAAGCATGAAGCGACAACATGTGGGTTCCTCTTCATAGCCATTATTAACATGCATTCCTCCATTTTCATATATCCTTGATTTTAAAATATGATGATCTACTATTATACTTTAGAATAAAATTTATTCTAAAAGATTTATTTTTTTATCCTAATGGATTTATTAAACTGTGTGAGCAAAGTCACTTCTGAGCAATAGGACCTGGAACGGTTCTCCAAGACCACACGGAACATTGCAAAGCCAATCCTCTACCAGTGTAGTCTAAAAGAGTCTCCCAGTAAATTTACAAAGGAAAATTTCCTTTACAAATTAGGACTGTCAACTTTAAAGGACATATTCTTGTTTATTTGTATATTTATTCATTCATATGACAATCAAGCTAGTGAAATAAGAATAAAATAGACTGGTCAATTCCTCGAACTGTAGTGAGAAGAGATGGAGGTGAGGCCATGAGAATGTGTCCCTCAAAAAGGGTAAGCCAGAAGACATCTTTTGCTACAGCCAGTGGGACACGGACATGAGCCCCTTATTGGTAATGGGTGTTTATAAGGCCCAGCTTGGATCCAAGGCAAGGTCCTTTCTTTCAAAGAATTAAAATTAGCTGACACCAATTATCATGGGAAGTCAGACAGACATTTATGATCAGTTAAATTTGGAGCCTCCTTTTTCCCAGAGAGACATAAAATAGCTAACAATGAAGATACACAAATCCATTCAAAGGGTTTTCAGGAGGCGCCTTCTTACAAGTCAAAGCCCAAATCTAACTATAATTTCCTTTCAAATTGTCCCCCATTTCACACAGTGTCAGGAAGGGGTCATTTGGATACAGTTCTTCAGATCTTCAGCTTTCTAGACTACAACATTGCCTCATGTCAGCCGCCGTCACAGTGATTTCGTGTGCACTGAAAGTCTTAGATATTCTTTCTTGAGAAGAAGACCCATAGCTCTATCCCAGTGGGGTGAAAGGAAGGACTCTGGCCATGTCTGGTGTCAGCATTCCAAATAGCATCCTTGAACAAATCAAACTCCAAGGCTATTAGTTCCTCAAAGTTGCAATTTATTGAAAGAGCCATGTTGGCACATATGGGAAGTCCTGAATCTGAAAGCTCCCAGGTTTTCCCCACCTAGTTTAAAGTTGCCCCCACACCCACAGATCCATCTCATGGTCCAATCTCCCACTGCCATGCTGGCAGTTCCACCCATCCAGTTCCGGTCAGGTGCAGAGGTGCAGAGACTAAGGATGACCTTGGCTTTCTAGAAGGAATTTTGTTTTGGCTACACAGTAAGTGGCTCTGTACAATCCCCCCTCCCATTTTCCCACAATGGAAAATGGATAGTAGAATAATAGAAAGTGTGGCAGGCCAAATATCCAAAAGAAAGAGGACTGCAGTCCTGACATCTGGTCTGCTTAAAAACTTCACAGACTGTGGATCTACTCTTTCAGGGTAGATCCTGTCCCCAACCAGGACAAGCTGAATCCCAATTCCAAGGCTTATTTCCCACTGGGACCAACAGAGCCTCCATCCAGTCTTGATTTGATTTCACTGGATTCAGTCCAAGCCTGGATTTTGGTACCAGTTCTTTGCTTTTTGAGGACATAATTGAACTCCACAATCCCCAGCATTTCAGGCCCCCTCTCATCAGTTTTATGGAGATACTGCATGCACAGCCACAGATCCCCACAGCCACAGATCCATCACATGATCCAATCTCCAATCTCCAATCTGTGTCCTAAAGTATAATCACCCAGCAATCCAGGAGTGACATGGCTGAATCATCTCGATCATTATGTCTATGGAGACCAAAGATGTTTTTTTTCAAAAGGGCAGCTGGAGTTTCTTGATTTTCCCCCCTAAATGTAAATGTTTCATTTCTCATCCAAGAAACCAGTTTGCTGCTATGGCTGCTTCTTGCATGAGAGGTGAAACATTTTCCCCCAAAAAACAAGAAAGTCGAGTTGCCTTTTGGAAAAGGACGCTGGGGACCTTGGTCAATAGTACTGAAGCCTCCCAAGCAGTCTAAAAAGACTTATAAAGGTTATTTTGCCCACATTGAATCCTCAGTGAGGGTCACCCACCTGGGAAACTAGGCTTGAAGTAGTTTTGCAAGGCAGAAAAGACGGTAATATTTCACTTACATTTTTGAGCATCTTTAGCCGTGACAGATCATCTTGGTCGATGATCAGTCTCTGCCTTTCTAAACTCCCCACTTGCTCTTCGATGGGATCCTCCATGGGGGGAACCAACCAGCTCATGATGTTCAGATCTCCTGTGATGTCTCCTTGTTCATCCAGGTACAGTTTGTCCTGGGAAAAATTGCAAAACTCATTCTTCTCCAGAAAGGGATGGAACTAGAATAGAAACAGCCAGGAATTTTAAAGCTTGGTCCCACATTGTCTTTTAACATTTGAATATGTCCTCTGCAATCATCTAACTTACAAATATTCTTATTTGTACTATACTTGGGAGCACAAGTATCACAGATATCTTCAAAACTGAAAAACAAGTGTTTCGGGAAAAAAATGTTGCTAAAAATATATTAACAAAATATATATTAAAAAATGTCTGTTATAGGGAAAATTCTAAAACAGGTCAAAATTAATTGAATAAACAAATAAAGAGATTATTTATAAACTCATTCAGAACCACAGGTTAATTACAAGAAAGCGAATTTTTCAAATAGAAAGTTGGGAGTTTAATCTTATTCAAGGTAGACCAGATGAGCTAATTTTACTTTATTGTAAGGCAACATTAAGAGAATCTTGCAAGTCTGAAAGTTCAAATCTTCCACCAAATCATTCTGTAGCTTGAAAAGTCAGGGACTATCCTTTCTGACTTTCTGTCTCAAACTGGTTTCTTCTTGGATTTCTTGTTTTTCTTTTTCAGTGGTATTGTGTCGGGCTAGGCTTTTATGATCATATTTTTCAGTGTATCCCATGGTTCTTGAGTTGTTTTCCCTTTGAGGATTTTTATCCATGAAATTTTCCTTAGGGTCTTTCTGAATCTATTAAAATCATCTCTTTTAAAGTTTAAGACACTAGTTGGATTATAGTCTGTTGCTTGTATTTGCATTATATTGAATACCAGTATAATGTGGTATCAACCAATGTCCTGGCAACTTCAACTCTCTCTATCACTTCTTCTCTATTATTAAGAATTAGGTCCAGTGTAGTTTTTCCTCTAGTTCCCTTCTCTACCTTTCGGTAGAGGAATTGGTTAGGAATCCGTTTGATCTCCCGTTTGCTGCAGAGTTTGTCTCCCAGTTGATATCGGGGTAGTTAACGTCTCCCATTACTACTGTGGTAGGTTTCCTACATACAGGAATTAATTGATTAGCAAAGAGTTCATCTATTTCTTCTGCTTGGTTGGGTGGCCTGTAGTATGCACCTATAGCAATGTCATTTTTTTCCCCTTTTTCTTTTGATCCATATGGATTCTAGGAGGTTTTTGGTAGAGAAGTAGCGATCTTTTATATACAATGCAATGCCACGTCCCCTTTTGTTAGGTCTGTTTTTAACAGTTGGATTTTTGATCCAGGGAGACAATGTACCTCCCTAGATTGCCTGCCTGGTCTGCAGACTATATTTTCTGTTTCACTAAGAATTGAATCTCCTATCACCAGAATTCACTTCCTCCCCTTAAGGACGTCTGGATTACTTTACTTCCTGTCACAGGAATTCCGGGTTGTGCCTCTTTTTTTTAGAGACTATTGATGAATGCTTTTTTGTGGTTGCCTGTGTATTTTCTTCCAGGGGGGGGGGGTATGAAAGTGATTGTGCAGTTCTAGAGGCCACTGGAGTGGGCGAGGGTAGATAGTTGGGCCTTTGCTCTTGGTTGGTGTCTTTGTTCATATCTAGGGCCATTTTTAAGCTGTTTGTTCCCTATTGTGTTCAGTTTGGATATAGTGGTTTTCTTCTTTATGTTCATATATGAGGTCATCATTTATTTAGAAACTGTTTGCTCCCTATTGTGTTTAATTTTGGTCTTCTTGTTTAGGTTGGGATTTCTTGTTTTTTTCATTGAGTTTCAGAATACTTGGAGTTGCCTTTAGACAACTCTTTTTCTTCTAGACATTCAAGTAGTTTACATTTGATACATATATAGTTTGTACGTATTTAGGGAAGGGCAACAAAGTCAGGGAGGAGTTCAAAGGAGTTAGGGTTGATGTTAACCCATTCAGCCAAGTCTGACTCTTGGTGATCCCGTGGGCCAGGGATCTTCCAATCTTGCCCTGGCTCCTTGAGTTTTTCCTGTGCTCCGGCTGGTGCCAGCTTTTATGGTGTCCAGCCACCCTGTTCTTTGGTGTCCTGCTTTCCATTTACCGCTAACTCTTCCAAACATAACCCAGTGAATTCACCTGCATCACATGGCCAAAGTAAGGGTGATGCAGTTTTGTGAGTTACTCTTAGTGTTGAGGAAAGAAAAGAAGAGCCATGTTGGCGTACATGAGCTGAAATTTAAAGGTCTTTGGAAACACCTTTTCCAGCTAACAAAATCTCTTGGTGGGAAAAGGGAGGATGCAGCACTCTTCCAATAATTGAAAGACGTTACACAGAAGCTTAAGATCTTTTCAATGTTGTTTAAGAGTGTGGGAAATGGAAAAGTGAACTCGGTCACAAAAGAGGAGATTCTGGCTGAACAAGAGGGAAAAAAAATCCTAAAAGGAGTAAGTTTTAGAACTGAGCTCATGAACTAGAGAAATTCAGTCTCTCTTTCACTGACCAGGCAGCCAACAGTTTGAGAAGCTTTAACTGAGATTCCTGCGAGGAGGAGGAGGAGGAGGAGGTGGCCTAGATGGTCTTGGGGTATACAGCGAAGTTATGGATGTAAAATTCTACAATTCTAATCACAAAGCCACATTAATGCGAATTTATTTTAAAATGCACACATCTTTTTAAAAATTATCAATAATTAGTTTTGAAGTTTATTTGCCATGCTTGTTCATTAAGCCGTAACGTTTCAGATGTCTGTTGGCCTTTTATAGCACAAGGAGCTTGAAATGGTCCTTCTCTTCTTTCGGATTCCTATTGAATAGTAACTAAGTTTGATGTCTTAATATTTTTTAAATATATATTTTAAAGTCTATTGCCAAAGTTGAAAAGTAAAATTGGTGGGGTGGGAGAGAAAACAAACAAACAAACAAACAAAACCCCCATCAGAAACTAAGGCTGGTAGATCCTTGTCTGGACCTCCTTACCTGCCATGGCTGCAGCTTTGGAGCCCCCAAACTCTCTTTCCCCTCCTTCCTTCTCCTCCTGGATCTGGAGGAATATGCAGAATTCATGGCATGGACCAGAGTCTTGGCGATACTGTAAACATGGTGGTCATTTCGGATCCGTGTCCTGTTCTTTTCCTCTTGGGTCTCCAGTGGGACTTTCTGGGTGCATCTTCTCCGGCCTTTGACAGAAAAGTTGAGCTTTGAAAAAGAACAGTGGAAATACTCATCTTCAAACTGGGCTTCCACAAAAAAATCAGGTTCAATGGCTGCATCTCTGGGACTTTTTTTCTTCTGAAATACAAAGTTCCAAAAACTATGGACATATTTGAAAAGCCTGTGCCTTCTTAGTGCCAATTGCCCCAGTGCTGTGGTGATCCAGACTTTCCCTTCAATGGGTCCTGGCAAAGTTTCAAGCGTCAAGTGGATATGCTGGATTCTGTCCAAAAAGGAGCCGAACTCTATGAAGTGAACAAAGACGTTGACTTGTCTCCACTTGGAGATGGCATCCCTGAGGCGGCCTATATGCCCAGTCACTGAAAACTGTGATATAACAACACAAATCCCCTTCCTGACGAGCAGAGGAGGAAAAGTCCTCATGAAATGTTCTCCATTCTCTGTGTCTGAAGCGAAGAGACCAATCAGGGTCCATCTGAAGTGGAGGAGCAGTTGGACAATTCCTGGGTATTGGATCCCTTCTTTGGGGAGCATCAGGTGGAAAAAAGGGAACTGACTTTTATCACTCAGAGCCTTTGAAGCAATTTTTTCACTGATCTGAAAAAGTAAAGAAGAATGCTGTGCCATATTTGGAGTCAGAACAAATCAAAATACTGGCTTTTAAAACATTGTTTGTCATATCGATATACCCACACAATTTACCACAAACTGAAGAGCTCAACTGAATTGTTATATTCAAATAGTTACATTATGTGAAGGTTTTGAATTCTGAGCGCCCAGGAAATATGTTGAGTTGTTACTGTAAGGCTCTCCAAAAGCCATTCATCCCATGTGCAGCCCAAGATATTATTCTCTCTCTGACGGCATTGAAATTCAATTGTTGATTTGAATCCTTAGTCACGAGGATGGGTGGAGAAGCAGCTCTGGAATTCCACAGAGAAGTTACGGTTGGATTTATTGCTCAGTGTCGATGGAGCTTCTCAGTCATCCCAGCCATGGTTGTCCCAAAGGTGCTTTTTTCAAGAGGCAACTGGACTTTCTTGTTTTTCTTTGAAGATGTTTCGTATCCCATCTAAGAAGCTTCTTCAGTTCTGGCTGGATAGTCCCATTCCCCACCATCCAGTTCAGAGCTGAAGAATCTTCTTCAATGGGAAACTAAGCATCTTCAAAGAAAAATAAAGAAAGTCGAGTTGCCTCTTGAAAAAAAAAACACCTTTGGGACAATTTATTGCTCACCACCCCACTCACTTTATCAGATGGAGAGACACAAATACAAACCTGCGGGACTTTGTAGGCGCCTGCTAATGTTGACATCTGGATGGAGATGTCATCAACAGCTCCACCAAGAAGAGCCAAAAGGTTGTCCTCTCTTCCACAGCTGTAGTTGGGAACGTTGGCTTCTCCAGTAGAGAGCATGTCCAGCAAGGCATCTGAAGTGATAAATGTGTTCAAATAGTTGTCGTGGATGTTGTAGCCTAGTGTGAAATTGTGCAGGAGATGGGAATTCCTGTTGACCACTTGAATGGCAAAAATGAATAGTAGGATACTTGACCGATCAGAAGATAGAATACTGTAAAAATGTTCATGTTATCAGCAGCAACAGCAACAACAATTAGAGTCTCCCTGCTCCAAATTTAATGCTTTTTGTCTCCACAAGACTTCTGAATCTTAAGCCAATACTGATCCAACCCTCGGGGCAAATGACCATCACCCATCACCTTTTAATTTTTATAAGTGTTAAGAAAATGGGATGGAGACAGGCGTCCAGCAGATTCACAAATATGTCAATATTTGTAGTAAGGTTGCTTATCATCTGCCCAGTAATCAGGATTCAAAATCATTTAATAATTAAAGTAGGACCACCATAAAAGAAAGAGGTTGTTTCACAAGTAACCCAGAGAAGCAACTCTAAAAACAAGCCATCCCGTCTCTTGGTGTATAAGTATCAGGTGCTGAATATTGAATGGGCATTATGAAAATCTGGACATGGGCCGGGCAGAAGCAGCTGCAACCCTTCGAAAATGAAAGTTGGTATTCAAGTGATGAACTCAAAATTGGAGGTGGAGGAAGAAATAATATTTTTATATCTCTATTTTTATTGTATTGTAAGCTGTCCAGAGTCCCCTCAAGTCAGAGGTGGGCAGCATATAAATAAACAATTCAAGAAATTGGACCTGTTCTACAACACAGGAGCAGGTGAACTAAGGAGAAAAGAAAAAGGATGTTGCAGTTGTAAATGGAGGAGATACAATTCCACTGCACTGAATGACTTACGAGTGACGCTGATTAAAAGGAGACACGTTGAAAGGCAACGTTACATGTGATATTATTGTTGCAGAGGTAACCACACAGATGAGATGGGTTCCTGGACTGTAATAGCTGCGTGGGCCTTTTCCGTGCTGTAGCTCCAAACTCAGCGGGCACCTCATTCGAGGCTTCCCAGAGACTGGCTGAGAAACCAGCAATATCAGAAGCAGAGTCAGGAAGTCCATCATTCATAAGGCTGAATCAAACCCCTTTACCGTTTCTGAACAAGAACTAGGAGAGCTGGAAGGATTCAAAGCATTCTTATAAGATGGAAACGCCTGTCTCTTTCCTGATTCAGACGGCGGGAGGGGGGAACCAAGCTTTACCTGGAAAGGAGAGAAAGGTACATCCAAGAGCCCAGCCCCTGCCTGACCCAAGACTTTTGCCACACAGAGCCTGACCTCTAAGCCATTTATTACTGTCTGACGCAAAGATTTCCTCCGTGTTGCTTTAGTCTGATGTTTACAACAAAGTCAGTCACTAGGGAAGTAGCAGGAAAGGTCCCAGAGACCCAGATGGTGATAATTGCACCCATAATCTCCATTTAGGGGATCTGGTGGCCCTACTTCTGCTTGTGTGGATGCACTTGGTAGGATGAGCCCCCTGTCAGGGGTGCCTCATTCAGTATCCAAGAAAGAAAGCCCCCAACTCCATTTGAATAGAGAAAAAGGTACTTTTACTGGGCATGAAATGAAAACAGCTAAAGCGAAGCAAGATCTGAAGCAAAAAAGCAGGAACTTGAACATATCAAACGTTTACCCAAGACTCTCCCCCCAATTACCGAACTCAATGTCCAATCTCCAGCTCCCCAAGGTGTCGTGTGGGGTGCATCTTCAAGGGGCCTCATTCAGTTGGTATGCAGAGACAGCTGACCTTGACCAAGCCCAAAGACGAACCACCAGCATGCGCAGAAGATGGTGAGAACTTTTGTGTTCTCAACCGGGAACCAATAATCAGGACGTGCTGAATGAATGCGGAACAGCTTTTATTAACAGATATCAACTAGTAACAGACAAACAAACACCGCCGCCCCAGTGACACCACCTCAGCCACCCAGACTTTGCCTTTTTCCACGTCTTTGGCAGACCAGACTTTTGTGATTCTGCCACAAACTTTATACGCACTTTGCCTCTTTTAACATCTGCGCAATTCTTTTTCTTTTTCTTTTGTATGGGACATGTATGTGATATGTATGTGATGTATGTTTGATGTTTGCTAGTACCCACTTTTTATTTTATTGTCATTGTATTTTGTAATTTTATCCTAACTGTGGGGACTGTATGAGTGAGTGGCTGTGTACACATGAGGGGACTGGGAGAACAGCCGGGTGCCTCCGCCACTGAGTGCTACAGCAGAAGTGGTAGGGGGCCCAGGCCTACCCCCCATCCTAGAATGATTGAGACTGATAGCCTGCCGGAGAGAGTGGAGGCTTCAGGGGGGGGGAAATGGGGTCTACAGTTGCGGGAGTGGGCCGGAACATTACGGTCACGATGGGGAGGGGCAGGTATGGCGGGAACTTCAGGGCTAGCCATTACCGGGGAAGGAGGGTTCGCTACATCACAGCTATCCCCCCTTCCAGCCCTGTTAGTTCCACTCCAGGGCCAGATGGCGAGAGTGGTCAGGGCCCTGGGCTCAGGCTGTTGTTGCTAAATGCCAGGTCTGTAGTTCACAAGGCTCCCCTCGTCTGGGACCTTATATTAGACGAGGGGGCAGACCTGGCATGTATTACTGAAACCTGGCTGGGCCCGGAGGGAANTATAATTTCACCCCCCAGCCTGAGAGATGGAATAGTTGGCCAATCTTCTTCGCACAAGATGTAGCAGAGTAATAGTAAAAATAATGAAAAATAATCAAATCATAAAAAAATAATAAAAATGTTGATTTAGCAAAATCCAGTATAACTGAAAAAGATTTTTTTTATGAGTTGGATTTATCTTGAGATTATAAGAAACATTTTAATACCGTATGAGACTATTGATTTGCTAAAATTGGCTGCTTCAATTCCTTGTTCCTATTTCTTTTCAACTATCAATATTTATTTTTGCAATATATTAGATTTATTCCAATATATTAATTGACCTTTATTGACATAATAGAAAAATCAAGCAATATCATTCTATAGGTCAATAGTTTACTTGTTTTATTTCATATAGGTTTTTTTTTCTTTTTGTGATTTTTAAAATTCAAGTTTGCTTAGAAATTCTTTTTTCCCTTTTTGTATTTTGGTATTTTATATATATGGGGATTTTACAACAAATTAAATGATCAGTAGAAAATCTGAATAACACTGAATAACAATAGTGAAAAAGGGGAAAAAAGGTTACAAGTAAAAGTGAAGAAAGTATCAGTCAACATTTTTTGTCTGAATTTTGTGATTAGTCTACTTAAACCCTCAGCATTAATTCTTTAGATGGTTCTTCAATCATTTTGATATTCTCCTGATACCGTTGTAAGTTGAGATATATGTCAACCCTTCAAGATTGTCCAGGTCAGGAAATAAGCTCTACAAATTTGTTTGGAATTATGCCATATTGTAAAGAGTAAAGAAGATAATCTTAATGGAGACAAGCAAGATTTGTCATTAGAACAATATGGGTCTCTATGTGGCATACATTTTTAGGTCCAAATATGTAGATAAAATTTAGAAACTGATAGAAACTTCCCAAATTCACTACATTATAAGGAGGAGGAGATACACAGTCAGATTTACAATATCTATAGACAGTCTCAATAAACACACAGTTTTAACTTTCCTGTGGAGTTAATTTCAGGATCTGGTTATTTAGAGGGACTGACATCTGTTAAAGTTTATAGTAATCAGTGACGTGTGGTGAGGTTTATTGCTGGTGAGGCAAAAAGAAAGAAAGAGGCTTTTGGCCACTCCGGCGCTTTGTCCAACTCCGACATGGAGTCGGACAAAGCACCGGAGCGGCCAAAAGCCTGTTTCTTGAAAACAGGCACCGGGAGGGAGATTGAAAAGGGCTGGCCTTGGTGACATCACAATGTAAAGTAAAATCTCCNAATCCATCTGGTGGTGATGCTGTCTGACCCACATTCTTCTACTTTATCTAGTAGTAGGTTATGGTCTACCCTATCAAATGCCTACTGAACCTAGTAGTAGGTTATGGTCTACCTTATCAAATGCCTTACTGAAGTCTAAATAAACTATATTGACGGCATTCCTCTGGTCCACTATTTTTATCACATTATCAAACAGATTAAACTCCTATTTCTAAGGTCTTGGGTGAACTTGAAGGGTCTCACTGAATTCACATTGATCTGGCAGATAGTCATATACATTTGTAGAAAGGCTCCATTTCTTATACTGGATAGAGTAAAAGACTATCTTACATTGAAAAAGCGGGAATAATATCATAGGACTCCCAGATTAGGTTAGTATCATGTTTGGATTCTCATAATCTAAATAAGACTGTATATAGACAGTCTTATTTCTACAAGTTGGGGTCATTTGGCAGGAGAGATATTTATCCTTGATAAGAAGGATAGATATTGGCAGGTAAAATTAGATGAAGAGACCTAATGGCTATGCATATTAATACCTCCTTGGGGAAGGTTTTGTTTCCACCATCTTCCATTTGAGCTAGTCTTCTAGTGAAGTATTTCAACAAAAACAACAAAATGAGGAAACATTTGGCCATATAAATGGGATCTCTCTCTCTCTCTCTCTCTCTCTCTCTCTCTCTCACACACACACACACACACACACACACACACACACACACACACACACACACACACAAGCTGTTATTGCTGCAAATATTTCCAAAGATCATGATCAGATTTTCCATCAAGTAATTAAGACTTTGTGATAAAAATTCATAGAATTCTGGGAGTTGAAGTTCACAGGTTAACCTTTAGCAAAAAACAGTTGCCTGCCATTTTGGAGAAGGGGCAAGTGGGCAAAGAGGAAGGGGATGGGCCCATTTCATATTGTTCTCTGATGTTTAGAATTGTTTCCCTTTTTTAAAACTTCTTTCTTTGAGAAAGGAAAACTCCTGCCAGACAATGGCTGTGTCAACTGTTGCTGTGCTCTGTCTGCTGAGCAATCATATTTTTTAAAGTTCTTGTTTCCACCAGCTTTTCCCTGCAGATATATTTTATTGACAGTTACTTTTTCATATTTTTCAGGAGCTTTAGCAATAAATAACTTCATCTTTAAGGAGGTAGTCAGATGGAACAACCGTCTTAAACTTGTTTTGTAATTTTTTTATCACCTTGCTTCCCCAGGCACTAGGGAAATAGTACAATGCAAAAGAGCGCAACATTGAAACATGAGCCAAAAGGCAGAAGAGAGACATTATTTTCTATTCACGTCCTTGCATCTTAGATTGGATCAAGGCAAATAATTTCTACTGCTATTTTTTCCTTTCCTGATCAAATCAGGGCAATCCCAAACCAGCTATAAACAGGAACCAGTTAGTGTATTAGCAAGCCCTGGAACTCCTAAATATAGCAGCTAATAGATATCCTGCTACTTCACATTGTACTCTCATTTTCAATTTAAACTTACTCTTTTCTGTAATAATATTTCACTTTCTCTGTAATTTGGAATCCAACAATACTTTATTCAATAAAGTGCTGAGCTCAGATCCTTCTTCCATGATAAATATTTCTAAGCTGGGCTTAGAATGGATACTTCTGTGTTCTAATTACAAGCCTATTTCTTTGACATAGCTGGATTCCAAGGCTTTACTAGCTACGGGGGCTAATAGATTACAGCATGTTTTTCTGACATTTTCTTTCTCTGAATGTGGAGAAAAGTTTATAAAAATTTTTTTTACGGTGAGTTGTATTTATTTTGGATTTCCTCAAAGTTTTATGTGTTGAATTGATACAATTGATTTAATGACTGATTTAATAGGGCACTCCCTTTTTTATTTAAACTGATGCAGAAGTACAGCATATGTTCAAGATGGCCTTTTCTACTTTTTAAAATTAGTTTTAAAATTGGTTTGGGAAATTTTTACTTGAATTATGAGGATTTCTGAAACATTAATGGAATGGTAGCATGTATAAGAGAGGACATGGTGGCCTAAAACACTGGGCTTGTTGAGAGGAAAATTGGCAGTTTGAGACCGAAGTACCCTGTGACAGGAGGAGCTTCCATTCTTGGCCCAACTCATGTCAACCTAGCAGTTTTAAAGCATGCAACTACAAGTAGATAAATAGGTATCACTTTGTTGGGAAGGTAACAATGTTCTGTGCACCTAGTGTATAGCCATGCTGATCACCTGACCACAGAAGCATCTTTGGACAATGTTGGCTCCCTCCACCAGGAAATGGAGATGAACACTGCCTCCTAGGGTCAGATGGGAGAAAACTTTACCTTAAAAAAACCCACCTTATTTAGCATGAATAAGCGGAGCATAAAAGTCTAGTATAGGCAGTGGTGAGTAGAGGAAAAAAGCCTATGCCTTGATTCGCATTTAGAATTTACAATTCTTTATTGTAGATAAAGAATAAAGTTCACCCCTGTGCACTTTACATTCATCCATTCAAATATACAGAATCATTTTTTTAAAA